TTTCCAGCAGCAAGAAAACTTACTATCGTAATTGCTCCTGTGAATGGGTGGTAAGGCAGGCTTCTATATTCATTTTTATTGCATACTTAATTTTGTCCTGCTTTGCTAGACTTTTATTGCTAAGCATTAGTGATAGAACTAAAAACAACAACATCTTGATGTCCAACCCGCAGAAAAGAAAACTTGCAATGGAAGTGATAGACACTCTTGTATCCAAATTTCTGAAGATTTCTCCTGCTTGTCAAGAGTGAAGGTCTTCTGGTGGTGTCTTGGCCAGAAGATGAGATCTAAATAGCCATAGTTTCTTCTCCTTTCTATGAATAGTAGAGATGAATGAGGTTTTCCAGGTGTTATTTACCCTTGAAGAATTGAGGTTTTCTAGTATGATTTCTCATATTCTTCCACTATACAAGGAGAAGTCTCTAAGTGCCTCTTCTGTTGTTTTTTCTTGAATAGGAACATCGAATATTACTCTCTCCTCAACTTACTACTTCATGAGCCTTTCCTCCAACTAAAACAAAATTGAAACAAGCTTTCGTACATGCAAAAAAGGAATCTTGTTTCAATCTGGCATGAATTTAGTCATCCCAACCCCTCATTTTCAGTAGTTACTCCTATAAACAGATTTTAGGAAGTGCCCCTATTAAATATACCCAGATTCACACTTCTTCAAAATTGATGGGGAAGTTATATTTTTAAAAATGCAGCAAATGGGAACAATCACCTGTACATTTATTTCATAGAACGAGCCTTTCCATTGCATAGCTTTCTCTATCCATATATATCAATGCATACATAGTCACGTATACAGTGTATGCATACATGCTCACACACAAAAGGAACTGTTTTGTAATCACTGCGCAACCACTACTCCCTACTGCTCCTTTACCTCAGACCTGTCAAACTCCCGGCCCTTTGCCTTCTTTAATATTGCTTACTAATGGGAATAATAATTTCATGGTAGACCAGTAGTCAAGTTTTCATGAAGTCAATATTCTCATTAGAAGAAAGTCCATTCCAGTGATGTGACCAATTCCTCTGCAGAAAACAACTGTAGAGATGCAGCACCATCTAGCTGGAAGGAAAAAGGGTCCTGCTGTGGACAAGTTGGATTCCTGCAAATTGCTGATCTCATAAAGCTCCTCCATATGTACTAGAATGGGATGGGTGTCTTTTGCTGACATAAGGTGGAAAACCCTAGTTTCATGTCAGAACCCTTTGTCTCATGTCAGCTAGTCTCAGAAGCACCTGAGGGGAAGCTTTATTGTGAGGACACGGCTTGACAAATGGTAATGTGGTTACTTTGCAGTACATCAACCAGAACATGTAGAATAACCTGTTATTTCAGAGGAAATCCAGTCCTAGTCAGCAGATGTGCGATGAATTCCACATCAGAAGTGCTTATTTCTTGTCTGAATGAGACAAGTCTCAGAAAAGAACTGTATCCCTGGAAACTTTTTTTAAAAACAAACTTAACCTCCTCCGCATTACATCTCCAATCATGGTCTATTATGGTCACTGAACAGAAATGATGGGAGTTTTATGGCTTTATATGGAGAAGAATGAAAACTGGCACTAACATTATTTATATGTGAGCCGTGTTTTATTTTACTGTGCCCTGAAAATGTCCACGCAAAGCTGTATCTGCTAAGTGAAATTACACTATTTATAGACTATTGTTTTGTTGCATACATATTTGATAGCATTGTTCAAATAGGTTTTTAAGACAAGAAGGTATGAGGGAGACATATGTAGAGCTTGCTCAAGTATTGTGCTGTAATCCCAAAGTGGAAAATGCAATACAAGATGGTTAAATATAAGATGGGTTGGGTAAATTTGTGGTGGACAGATTTATTAAAGAGCACTATATTTTAAGATTTAACATTATATCCAGTTTGAAAAAAACCCTTTCTTGTTTGAAAGCATCCCAGAGGAAACTTGTTGATCACTGAGAAATAAAATGTAGAACCAATATGGGCCTTGATCTGATCAACACATTATTCTTATGTTCTTATCCTTGTCTTAAATTTATAGGCAGCTGTGAATGCAATTAACATTGAATTGTTTCCTTTTTATATCTGAAATAGTCTATCCCTTAGTTCCAGATATAAACAGGTGAAACTGATTTGGAGATAAATAGGGGTAGCTAATGACTGATAAGAGTTGTAGTGGTGAAAAAAGGAGAATCAGCAATGTAAATATCCATCAATGTATAAACGTAAAGCAGATTTGCAAATAATAAAGCATCCTTTTTTTCTTCCTTTTCTTGAAAGGGACATCCTTTCAATCTGTAACTCTCTATGTATATCATTGTACTCTCATGCTTTAACAGTCCGAGAATTGAACTTTGATCACATGACTGTAGCGTCACCTTATAGCCAACCCAAAAGCGAACAATTTGAAGTAATTTTTTTACTGTACCTGAATAGAAGTAATTTTGTTTTCCTTTTCGGCCAACAAAGTCATTATAGTTTCATTCTGTGTAAAATGTTCATCACTTACTCTGAAAGCAAAGACAGGTAATAACTGTAAAAAGAGATGTGTGTGGGATTGCTGGGAGGCATATGCATTCCCCCATAGCCATTTCTTTCCCTGTCTTTGATTCCTGAGTTCAGTTTCATACACCTGGCAGTGTCTTCTATCCATTTTGCAAAGTTAGACTCGAGCCTTTCAGTACAGAGGAAATGAGATATAGTTTTTTCTGGGCAAGATAAGGTGTATTAATGCTGGTACTAAAATATTCTGAAATATCATGTACCTTTAGACACAGCAGCCCCACTTTTCTTGATAGCAGTGTCCAAAAATAGGGATATTAAACTGGGCATTGGTTTATTTCCCATATTTATTTCAATTACTATTCCCCTGCCTTCTCTGTAGTACAAGATGTCATTTGCTCAACATCTAATCATTTTAAATTTCCACCCTACAGGATCTAGTTGGTTGTACAATTATTACAGAATCTGCCTTTCTCCTCCCTGGGGCTATTTCTGCCGTGGTGTCTTCCCAGATGCTTTTTATATTATTTTGACTTGGGAAATATGGGAGTAAAAGCAAAAATAAACCTTAAGGAGACCTTATTAGACAGATCACCTTATTTTTGCTGTTCTGCCTTTTGGAAGGATGTTTTCTCTGCTCTACTGGGAATTTGCTTGTGCAAATTTTCCTTATTTTTTTTTTTTGTGTGTGTGTGTGTTCTTTTCCATTATTAACTTTTTGTGTTGCTGTCACAATTAAGCCCCTTTTCTGGTTTTGAAATTTAAAGTGTAACTGGATGGAATGTCAGGAAAATATTGAAGAGAACAGATTGACATAAAAAATTGCTTTTATGAAATAATTTTAAATACATTTATTTAAATGTATTTATTTACTTTTATTTACTTATTTACTTACTTTTATTTATTTACTTTTATATCCTATCAATATCGGTAATCCTCAATGTATGACAATAGAATCCAACATTTCTGTTACTAAGCAGTTGTTAAGTAAGTTGCTCCTCATTTGACGATCTTTTTTTGCCACAGTTAAATGAATCACTGCAATTGTTAAGTGACTCTGCTTCCTCCATTGACTTGACAGAAGTCAGCTGGGAAGGTTACAAATAGTGATCAAATGACCTCAAGACTCTGCCACTGTCATAAATACAAGCCAACTGCCAAACACCTGAATTCTGATCACTTGAGCGTGGGGATGCTACAACGGTCGCAAGTATGAAAACCTGTCATAGGTCACTTTTTTCAATGCTGTTGTAATTTTGAAGGCCACTAAATGAATGGCTGTTAAGTCAAGGACAAGCTGTATTAGTATATCCTAGCATTAAACATATTCTTAACCCTTTCTCCTTGAAAGAAGATATTCTCAGATTAAGATCCTGAGGCTCCTTCAGGCTTGTCCTTTCACCTATACCTCAAATCCCTGTCCTCCCATTCCCTTCTCATGCCTGAATATACCTGCTATGCCTTGCCAACCTTTCAATGGTAATTCACCCCGTCCTCACAGCACTGAAAATACCAGAAAACCAATCAACATGCCCATCAGAAGTGCCACTCACAAAGTAGGGCAATGTTATACCCCTGTGAATTTTATTTGATTGTACCCACACTCCTTATGGCTTGTGTCAAAGACAGTAATAAAGATTTGATTTGAATACTCCAGCGATTTGGGGCAGGTGCCCCAAGAGCAAAAATGGACGGGTAACAAGGATAACACGTTTTATGCCAGTACAGGTTTTTCATTTTCTGAGTTAAGGATAGAGGACTCGTGTGAAGCACCAGATTGTATATTTTTAAATGCCCATACAAACCAACTGCCACGTTTGCGACCCTATCATTCTGATTTTTACTACATCACTTGAAAGAAAGGCAAAGGTATAAGTAAAGAATATAATGCATTCATAGTCATTGGTAACTATGGTAGGACTGCATCCTTATTGTAATAATACAAGGCCAAGAATTTGTAAAGTGTCTAAACCCAAAGTCCTATTAAGCATCCCCAATAGGGAGAAGGGTAATCACCATAGCTCTAAAAAGGCCTTTTACATCTCAACGTTGTATTTTAAAGCAGCAGCCCCCAACCTTTTGGGCACAGGGGACCAGTTCTGTGGAGACAGTTTTTTTCATGGAGGCGTGATTTCGTGTGCTGCCTGCATCCCGCAGCAGCACACACCCCACACGTGTTTGTGTGGCCCAGTTTCTGGCATGCTGTGCACTGGTGCTAGTCCATGGACTGGGGATCCCTGTTGAGAGAGAGAGGGAGGGAGGGAGGGAAAGAAAGAGAGAAAAAGGAGGGAAGGAAAGAGGGAGGAAGAGAAAATGAGAGGGAAAGAAAGAAAAAAGACGGAGGGAGGGAGAGGGGGGAGAGAGGAAGAGAAAAAGGAGGGAGGGAAAGAGACAGAGGAGAGGGAAAGAGAAAGAAAAAGAGAGGGAAGGAAAGAAGAAAAGGAAAGTAAGAAAGACAGAGACAGAATAAAAGCCCGTCAAATATACAGCATATGCAATTTCTTGCTATTATTTAATGGTCGTCCGTATTTATTATGTTAGAAGATCACATCCTCCAACTGAATTCTTTTAGGAACCAACATCCTTTCTAACAAATAAGGCTAAACTGCAGGGCTAAGAATACAATTGATAGAAGGCCGCCAGTTCCTTCTTTTCCGAGGCGCGCATCAACCGTTACGCTCGATCCAAAATAGCGCGCCGCTTCCGTCGCGCGCCCAGCCAAGCCTTCGGACGGCCGCCCCGTGTTATTTCCGAGCTCGGAAAGCCGGAGTCCGTGCGTCAAAAGATGAGTCGCTCCTCTCATTGGCTGTTCCGACGGAGACGCGTCGCACCCCAAACATTGCGGGGCGTGACCAATAGCCAAAGCCCGATACGAAGATCTCGAGAGAGTTGATCTGAAGCTGGCACCGCCATGTTGAAATAGGGAGAGGCCACAGCCAGTTTATGTCGTTCTTCGGATTTATTTTTTTTGTTTGTTTGTTTGTGAAAAGGAACGCGAAGACCTCAAGGAAGCATTTGGATCGACGCTTGTCTTAAATTGATTTGTTCCCTCCCAGAAATACCGGTGGTGCTAAAGAGGCAGACGGAGGGGACGGCAACAAGAGGATGGTGCAGTCCTGCTCTGCCTACCGTTGCCGGAATCGATACGACAAAGAGAAGCCCATCTCTTTCCACAAGTGAGTAGGGGCGGGGGTAGGAAAACGGGAGCGGGGGAGGGCGGGGGGGGGGGGGGGGGGGGGGGGGGGGGAAAAGGGAGGCGGGGGGGAAAAAAAGCGGCTCTCAACCAGACGGGAGAAGGAGGTTGCATTCGCTTCGCGAACAGGAAGGCGGAGCCAGAGCGCCTGCGCGGCCCAAAGCGGGAGGGACTTTAAATAGTGCGCGGCCTCTGGAGGTCGCCGAGAAGGCGGGGCTAAGTCAGCTTACTGGGTCCTTTCGTGTTTTTTTGTTTCTTTCTTTAAAAAGTAAGGCTCGAGACGTGCCTGACTGGTGGAACCGAACGCGCGCAAGCGCGCGCTTGTTCAACCGTCAATAACAGCAAGGCGCCCCTTCAACCTTTCTGACAGGCTGTGGGGGGGGGGGAGCGGTTACCAGTGATTGTTTAAAATAACCATGATTAAGAATCGGCAAAGCAGGATCAATAGGGATTGTTCCCGCCCCCACTTTTGATCCTGGTATTCGACCCGAGTGCTGTCTGGTCTAATAAAGTCCACCTCCCCCCTCAAATAAAGCAAAAAAAGTTCTCGTTTTGTTAAAAGCAAGTAGACCTACTCCTGCTTTGGTGCGTTAGGTCCTTGACTTACAACAGCTTAGTGACCGTTCCAAGTTACAATGGCACTGTAAAAAGTGACTTATGACCATTTTGCACACTTAAAACCATGACAGCATCCCCATGATTCATGTGATTTACATTTGGATGCTTGACAACTGACATTTATGACGCAGTGTCTTGCCATGGTTTGTTTTTTTTCCTTTCGTGCCATGGTTGTTAAGTGAATCTGTGCAATTGTTAAGTTAGTATTACACAGTTAAGTGTATCTGGCTTCCCCATTGACTTTTGCTTGTCAGAAGGGTGCAAAAAGTGATCACATGACCCTGGGGCCCTGCAACTGTCATAAATATATGCTACTTGCCAAGTCTCTGAATTCTGATCATGTGACCATGGGGATGTTGTAATGGTCATAAGTGTGAGAAACAGACATAAGTGACTTTGTCCAGTGCTGTTATAACTTCTAATGGTCACTAAACAAAGGGTTGTGAGCTAGAAGACCTATGGTTGCTTTTGGGCTTTAGGTGTGCAGATTGTCCTTGACTTACAACTAAAGCTGAACCTAAAGTTTATGTTGCTGAGCATAAATTTGTTAAGTGAGTTTTGCCCCATTTTACAACCTTTCTTGCTACCATTGTTAATTCAATCATTGCACTTAAACTAGTAACTTTGCTGATCAGAAGGTCATAAAAACTGATCACATGACCCCGTGACACTGAAACCGTCATGAATACAAGTCAGTTACCAAGCGTTTGAATATTGATCATGTGACAAAGGGGATGCTGCAACAGTCATAAGTATGAAAAATGATCATAAGTCACTTTTTTCAGTACTGTTGTAACTTTGAAGGGTCACTAAATGAACTGTTGTAAGTTGAGCACTAATTATATATCTCAGTTTTGTTTGTTGAACTACTACATTGTTTTTTTAAGCCCAGTATTCAGTTAAGATTGTTCTCACAAAAATTTAAGAGCAGCTGAATTGACTTGCACCAAAGAAGAGGTTATAAGGGTAACTGAAAGTTTACCAATAAAACACGCACATTTGTGAATACCCACAAACTCATCTTGACTGAATATGTGCTTTTGAGAACTTGAACGTTTGCATGCTATCTGTAAATCTATAGTTGAGTTAATAAAATATGTTTTAATACTGATTTTGAGCTTTTCTTATTGTAAATGTTTTCTTTTCCTTGGACAATAATAAATCTTGAGTCTTTGTGGGTTTTGTATGCTCCTTAAACATTTCTACAAACATGGATTAAAGTTATAGAAACAAGGGGTATTTCAAATTTCTCCAACGGACCATGAATAGAGATGAATCCATAATTCGTTCACTAGACATTGAATGTTGAGATATCTGTACTGGAACTCATCTTGCACAAACTGATTTTTCTGTTTTTGGTTTCCATTAGCACCTCTCCTGTTACTGGGAGAATAGAAAAATAGAGACCTTTCATTAAATTCAAAAGCTTGATTCTACCATGTTTTAGGCAACTTCTTAAAAGCATAGAAAGACTACAGTTAAGTGAAAATGTGAGTGTTTCCCCTTCCTCTCCTTCCCACCTCCAGTTTAGTAATAAAAATTGTTTGATGTACATTTTATTTGTAGGTTTCCTCTCACACGACCTGATCTCTGCAAGAAATGGGAAGCTGCTGTTAGAAGAAAAAATTTCAAACCAACAAAATATAGCAGCATTTGTTCTGAACACTTTACTCCAGATTGCTTCAAAAGAGAATGTAACAACAAACTATTAAAGGACAATGCTGTACCAACAATATTTTGCCACACAGAACCAAATGTGAAGGTAAGTGAGGTTTATGAATTGTTTTGTAATTCAGAAAATATTGGGCGGCAATGCCGCTATTGCTAAGCAAAAGTATTCTGAAGACAGGAGACTGATATATAGTGCCAGACGGAAGCATATTCATCTGTTGATATAATGGAAAGAATTAAAATTGTGTTTCTACTCATTTACCATCTTTGATTTTTTTTTAAATTTTGGATTCTTCTAAAATAAAAGCAAAAATGGATTCATTGTTGCAATTCTGACAGCTTTTTGTATCACTTTTAGACATTTCCTCATTCCTGCAAGAATACTTTTAAATTTGATTGATTTCACATGGGTTAATTCAAGAATATTGTAAGAATGATCAACACTTCTGCACCAAACAATATCTCATTTTTGGGGACCATTGCAAGAGTGATAAATATGTACTGTTTTGTACAGCTGCACATTACTCCATCTTATGTCATTTATGGACATAATATTGCTGCTCAAACCATAATGTTCCACTTCATTTTCTTTTCTAAACAAGGAGAAATATGGAGAACGATTTGCTTGGAACAATGGATATTTGGGACACAAGTTTTTTTTCCAAATTGTCACTACAGGACTTGGTGGAAATTTAAAGTAAAGTACTGTTTTGTCTACTCAGCAGCTCTTTCAGAACTAATGGTGAACTAAAAACCTAAATAGGAATCCTTGTGTAAATTATTATTTCCATCCAAGAAATAGCTATATTAATACAAGTAAGTGATGCTCTTTTAAAACAACAAACTTACCTGCAATGTTCTATGTTAGAGATCAGCAACCTTTTCAGGCTCCTTTACAATTTTGCATTATATTTTGGATGCTAAAATACAATTTCAAATAACAAACATCACATGATATTTGATGCAAGAGTATATAGCAATCTTATATAATTGGCTTATATTTTACGTTTTTACTTTTTTATTAAAAATCCTCATATTTTAATTTTTGAAGTTAGAGGGTATAATATAAAGGTATCATGGATATAACCCTTGTTTTATCAGACCATAAGATTTTCTTTTAACAGAATATTTGTGCCTTTTCCTTTTCCTAAAAATGCATGGGTTAATTAGGTGAATCATCATCATTATTATCATCATCATTATTTTAAACATTGTCTATCTCCTGCAGGATGAAGGCCTCTTCTGCATGTTTCTAACCATAATGCTCCTGAGTTTTCTTTTGCCAATTGGGCCCACAATATTTGCTGATGTCATTGATCCATCTTGTTTTAGGTCTCTTTAGTGGATGCTTTTTATCAAGTGGGATAAATTCTGACCAACTTCCTTGGTTCACCGGTCATCAGTTGTTCTTGCTATGTGACCAGCCCATTTCCATTTCAATTCTTTTACTCTCTTGATGATATCATATACTTTGGTTTGTTCTCTAATCCTTGTTCAGGTCTTTCTATCGTGTCTTGTAATGCCGAGTATATATCTCTGCATGGCTCTTTGTGCCACTCATAACTTTAATATCGATTGTGAGGTTAGTGTCCATGTTTCACTGGCATATGTTAGAGCAGGTAGGTAGCACACACTGATTGAAAACTTTTCTCTTCAGGCATAGGGGGAGGTTGTTCTGGAAAATTATGCTTAACTTGCCAAATGACAGCCAACCACATTTAACACGTCATTCAATTTCCTTTATTATATCACCTTCCATTGAGATCCGTTGGCCAAGGTCTATGCAGTGGTCTACTACACCTAATTCACTAATTAAATACATTGAATACACCAGATGAATACTGGAATATGAGTTATGTTATGGTATAGTTATTATATTATATTATTGTTACATTATGAAATATAAGAAAAATAGTTCAGCCAAAGGATTGTTTATGACATCTTATCATCTTGGTGGCCCAGCTGGGGGAAGCATGTGAGTGTCAGGCACACGCACCCTCCACTTGCACGAATGGGTGCTTGAGTGGAGGGCGCTCGTGCTCGCATGTGAAGTGCCATTTGCACAAGTGCCCAATGTTCGCGCAAATGCAGCTTTGCACACATACTTGCCCATCGCTTGCACAGCCCGGTTTCTAACAAGCCGCATACCGGTAGTGGGCTGTGGCTCTGGTGTTAGGATCCCCTGGTTTATGATGACTTTCTGTTTTTTTATAAATATTAAGTCAATATACTCCATGACACCAATGTATTTTGCTGCAACCCCTCACACACAGAAACACACATAGACACTTTATGCCATTATTTTAAAAAATTATACTGTTCTGGTTGTTAGTTAATACTATCTTTTTAAACCTTTAATTTTTGATGCACCGTGTATAAAACATAAGTGTTAATAGGTTTTTTTTCAGTTACTTAATTAATGATGCTTGGAACTCTGAAAGTTATAGTTTAATGATTCTTTACACTAGATTGGACACTAACACAACTACCCTATACATGCTGAAATATGAGGAAAAGGCTGTGATAAACATTAATTAATCAATTGATTATATTAATTATTCCTTTTTCTTCTGTTCAGTTGTATTCAAATCTCAGAGAGTACCTAGTCAAATCCCTGCTGTTTTCTTGGCAAGTTTTTCACAAGTGGTTTGCTACTACCTCCTTTTTATGGCTAAGAGAAAGTGATTAGCACAAGATCACTCAGCTGGCTTTACGCCTAAGGCGTGACTAGAACTCATGCTCTCTCTGCTTCTAGCCTGGTGCCTTAACCATTAGACCAAACTGGCTCTTTTAATGGTGATATAAAGTGCAATGAATATAATCATAATCCAGTCTTAAATGGTTAGGCCCTCAGTCTTTCTGGTCTGAATATAAAATTGCCACTAGGGATTTTCTTATGAGTTAATGGAAAGGTTGCCACTGGATAGGCTGTTCAATGCATGATATACAGCTCATTTTTTATCTAAAGCAACTACATTTCTGTATACATTTGTTGTGGATTTAGACTAGCTATATCAACCAGGACTTAGCATTGCTAATAACTCCTCAGTGCTGCTAGTGGAAGATAGGATTTAACACGCATGTTAAAATCAACTTCTGTAAGACAGCAAGCCTGGAGATGAGGTGAGAGCTCATCAGCCTCTGTCACTATTATATAAACACTCATGAATTGAATGTTTCTAGGCTGTACTTCCAAAACCTCCTCCTATAACTGTTAATTATAGTCAAATGATTTTATTTTATTTTTTGCAGGAAAAAACCCATCTTGCTATCTGACTCTTAACATGTTTTAATGGTGTTATTTCAAAATAACTTCAGAGCAACTGATAAAGGTGAAAAAAAAGAAATAATCACTGACTCGTGGATTAGTCATTAGTGCTTCACTTACTGAAGCATTTAATTGAGATGTAGTAACTAATATATAAATCTGTTTCAGTTCAATTCAAGTGTATTTATGGTAATTGATTAGTATATATAAATACAAACAGCATGTACAATAATAGTATCAATTATAATTTGAGATAAGGAACATTTCACAAGTTTTCAAAGTGTTTCAAAGATTGTTGAAAAAATAGCAGTTAAACAAAATATATATAGCACTAGGACAAGAATTGAATAATATATGGATAAGATATGCATTGTTATTTTTCTTGAGAATCTTCCAAATTAGGGAGATTAAATCTGTTCTCAAATGTATATAAAAGTTGTAATATAATAAGACATTGTTGGAGAGAGATTGGCCAAACCAGAGGGAGAAGTCAAGTAGGGAAATAGTCTGGAATCATTATGTAGGCACAAGAGGGCAAGGACCAATCCTCCTTGAAGACCTTTGAACCATATCTAATCTGGCTGAGGTACAAATTGCCATTCTGGGAAGATTCCTGTGAAATAGGCATGAACAATAAAGTAGCCAACTGAATTCTTCATGTGTGGATCTGGTTGTTTGTGACTGACTAGACATGGGCAATGTTCTCTGTTGTACTTATAGAAGAACTATTGTTGCAAGCTTTAATTCTAGGTAAACATACCATTTTAAACAATAGACTTTTGTCCCCCTTCAATGGCAATGTGCCTTAAAATAAATGAGAGATGAAAAATGTTTTTTTTCTTTAGTAGTGATGGAACAGTTTCAAAATACTGAAGATATATAAGATAATTCCAGTACAAGTTATGCATTTCAAACAATTATAATTAATAGTTGAGATCAAATTTTTATTTTTATTCATTTGTTAAATTTATATATTACCCGTCTTGCAGTCTGAGGTGACTCTGGATGGTTCACAATGCAAGAATACATGGAGCTATAAAAACATTAACTATAAAATAACAGATTAAAATTACAAAAGATTAAGAACAGACTAAAAGACTACGGATTTGAAATGGAGCAGTTATGGTGCCTTTTCGGTCTCTGCCTCAGCTACCTGCACCCTAAAGTTTCTCCTCCAGAGTTCCATGTCAACTAGCACAGCCGGGTCTTAAGGCTCTTCCTGAATTCCAAAAGGGTTCCTTTCAGTTGGACAACACTGTTAAAAGACACAGAATCTAATCTTATTTGAAAAATAATCTCATAAATTAAAAACAACAATGTCCTAAAAGTAAATAATTTGATAAACTGCATTTTATGGGTCATATAATTACCCATATACTGGGTTGCTGGATTGTATAAGAAACTATTTCCTGTTCAAGGCCATGTATTTCAAAAGATAAGCATGGAAGATGTATTTGTTTGTTAGATTTATATTCTGCCTTTTATTTTATTTGGTGTTTATTATAGAATTCACATTAAACAATCACTGCTATTCAAGGCAATTGTGTACTAGTGGGTTTCCTTAGAAAATCTCCTCAGATATTAAGTCCCTTCTGAAAGGTGGCTTATGGCAGGGGCATCCACAACTCTGTCATTGGCTTCAAAATGTGCAAGTGAATTTTAAAGCCAGTGACTGTAGCTGCAGATATTCTTGATCTATGGACTGGTAGAGATTTCAACTGAAATTCTAGAATGATTAAACGTTCATATTCTTTCAAAAAAGCATCTTAAAAGTAAATCACACTCTTACTTACAGTAAGATGAACAAGTATGTTTCTAAAAAATATAACTATATAATAACTGCTTCACTAAAATAGATTATATTCTCTTTTCTAATGTTCCACTGGAATCTGTAATGGAGACTTCTAGGCTGGATTAATTGTACTTTTTGCTCCTGTTATGAGATATGTTGTTTATATCAAAGGAAAAATCTAGCTGGAACTGGAAATTTAATCTTATTTTGCTGTCTAGTGAGAATTACTGAGAAACAATCCCTAAAGCATTTTGTAATTATTTAAAAAAATAATCCTGAAGAATCTGTGAGCATTCACATATGTTGGAAAACATAAAAAGCAGTTGTAGGAATATAACTATAACATCTAATGGCTTAGTAGAAAAGAAGGATAGAATAAATGAATAAAAGGAAAAAAAACTGAGGCTTTATTGGTACCGTACCACCTAAATCTAATAGGATCAATTAAAGAATTAGAACTATGGAAATTCATTTCTGTTGTAATAGAATTAATCTAGGTGAAACAATGATTCTATGAATAAAACAAATGACTGCATGTATTTTTATCTTAAGATCACGTGTTCTTCATAAATCTAAATTTTATCTCTAAGCTCTCGTCCACTGGCCTATTTTTTTCTTCTCTATTCAGATAGTATTGCTATCCTATCTATCTAAAATTGTCCTGTTCAGATCCTTAAGAGCACTGGTGACCTCTTGCTTTAGGGAAAACATAGAATATTATTCTAAGACAAAACTCTTAGATTTCACCAAAAAGTATTTCATTTTTTCTCATAATTGGAAAATTAATAATAGATCTATTGAATGTTAAGTTCTATGTTAAGAACGTTAAATATTCACTTTAACTGTACCTCTTCGAACGACAAAGTAAGTGGACTCTCAATAAGAGCATTAGAAGCTTCCAGTGTGATTATTGGATTTTCAAGCTATCGGCAATAATTATATACCCATAGCAATTGAACTAATCACTAAGATCGTAAGTCTGCTGCTATATGGCACTCAGCTCTGTGTATGTAAGGCCATACCTACCTTCAAAGCTAGTCAGTCAAAATTTCTAAGAGCCATTCTCCATGTTCTTTAGTCTCCCGCAAATATTCTTCGTTGGCTGGAAATTAGCTGTAGTGCTTTACAACCCTCTCTAAGCGGATTTGGGTCCTCAAAGCCTAGTCCTTGCTTTCTGGATCCAGGACAGGTAGTCCTCGACTTAACAACCATAGTTGAGCCCAAAATTTATGTTGCTAAGCGAGGAAGTTATTGAGTTTTCCCCATTTTACAACCTTTCTTGTCACAGTTGTTAAGTGAATCACTGTAGCTGTTAGATTAGTAACATGATTGTTAAATTAATCTGGCTTCCCCATTGACTTTGCTTGTCAGAAGGTCATAAAGGGTGATCACATGACACTGGAACACTAAAACTGTCGTAAGTAGGAGTCAGTTGCCAAGCATCTGAATTTTGATCATGTGACCATGGGCAGGTGGCAATGGTTGTAAGTGTGAAAAATGGTCATAAGTCACTTTTTTCAGTGCTTGTGTAATTTTGAATGGTCACTAAATGAACTGTTGTAAGTCGAAGACTATCTGTACATGGTAGAATTGAAACGATGGACTTAGGCATCCAAAATATCATTGCAAGTGTGAACATGTGGGTGCTTCTTTTATTATCTCAAGATAATTTTATAATATCCTTCATGCTCTATGTAGAATAGCATTTACACAGGTATAAACTAATGAGCTGCCTTCAGTGGTAACAAATTATTCTATTGTGTCTCTGGATTCTCAGATCCAAAGTTGAATCTGTAGCACATATGTTACTAAATTGCCCCTTTTTACACAATTAGTATCTTGAACTTGTTCAGTGTCCATTAGGTATCTTAAAGGTGAGTTCAGGTATGATAAGATTCCGTTGAGAGCAGGCTTCTGTATTCTGTTCATTTGTGAAGCCTTTAACTGACTAAACATACTGTTCCCCTGAAGGTTTTGCTACCTCTGTTGGAAGCTTGTTTTAACTAAACTAAAATAATGAAATTATTTTTTCCCCAAGCATGAAGTTTTGAAGAAGAAAAGTGATCTTTCTTTTCGCCTTGAAATGTTTTATGTTACCTTTTAATGAAATAAATGTAAAAATATATCTTATTTTGCTTTTCAGTCTGAAGGCACGCAAGAACCACCTGAAGTACCAACGCCTCCTTCTCCTTCACCTCCACCACCTCCGCAAACGTACCCAAGATTGGTGGATCCAAGCATTGGATTATTGATGCCACCACTTCACACTCCCAATAATATTGCTGTGTTTTGTGATCACAACTATACCGTAGAGGATACTGTGCATCAGAGAAAAAGAATTCAGCAACTGGAAGAGCAGGTGGATAAACTGAGGAAGAAACTTAAGACTGCCCAGCAGCGATGTAGGCGTCAGGAAAAACAGATTGAAAAACTACGAGAGCTTGTTCAGTTTCAGAAGGAAAAAGACGTGCTGTCAGGCAAAGGTGGTTATGTGATTCTACCTAATGACTACTTTGAAATTGTAGAAGTCCCTGCCTAGAAGGCTAGCATTGTCATTTGTGGGACACCGCCAAAGTTAGCCTCATCAGACTAATCCACCTGTTCAGTTTAAAAAAGCAAGACTTTTTAGTTCTGTATATTAAACACTTCAGCCCTTCAAAACAATAAAAGTTGGGATATAATCATTTGTTGGTGTTGCCTAGTGCTGATCTTTTTATTGATCTGTTGCTCAAGAATGGAGCTGATGATACTTAAATGTAGAGAATGATTGGCAATAACATACCGTGCTCACTCATATGTTGCCTGATGTGATGAAATATGGATTTGACTCAGTAAAAAAAATACTGAGCTGTAATAAAAAAAGATAAATCATAAATCAGCAAAAAAAGCATCAGAAAAAAATTCAAAGCACACCTCCACCTTAATTGTGTTAGGGATAAGTTGAACTGGAAAGATACTTTGTCATGCTTTCAAGATTATGTATCAATAGTTTACCAGCATTCAAGTGCAGTGCAAGACTCTAGTGACTCTGTTTTCTGACTCTACCTATCTCAAATTGCTGATATCTTGGCATTGTCCTCTTCTTTGTCTCAGGAAATTCACATTCCAGCACATTCAGAAATCTATGTTCAGTGATTCATTGGTCTATGAAATATTTCTATAGCATTCATAAGGTGTGGTATGATAAATCGTGGTGGCTATTATCTGAGTCACTAAAACCTTGGTTCAAATTCTGTCTCCCTTGAGTAATTTAGGCCAGTTGTGTTTCCTCAGCCTCTGAAAAAATATTTATGTGACTTTTCTGTTCCACTGTGTGAGCCAGATTGCAAAAGATAGCTAAGCTAGGACATCTTTCATTGTTCAATCATACTTTTAAGAACAAACAAAAAAGGCAATGTTAGAGACACATGCATAGAAATTCTAACCAGCTCTTAGAATAGTGCCCAGACAGTAATAGGGCTCCAGTTCAGGTTCTAGATTATTAGAATCCAATGAAACCTCAATTTAATGAACTTCAGTATAACAGGGTTCACATGCAATCAATCACATTGCACTGGTGATTTATGCCATTTGCATCAATTCAGATCATTTGCATGATAACTTAATCATACAACTTATACAAATTAGCTTGTCCCAATGATATACTTCCATGTTTGATAGACTTTATGAATAATGAACACACTCCCCAAAATTAGATTGTTAAAGTGAGGTTGCACTGTGCTTTTTTGAGTGCCTCCTTGGAAAGAGTTGTGTTGTTGTGTCTGCAACAGCTGAAGTTTTCGATGATCTGTGGCAGCCCATGTGAAACAACTTTGAAGTTAGGTTATTGAACAGATGAATTACAATTGTTCAGATCCACTGTATCTTAAAACTGGTAAAAGGTGTATCCAGCCATTGCTAGTTTGAGCTGGAGATCACATAGAAAAACAGTCTATATCAAGACGAGCTGTCAACGATCCTTCAAATTTATATTCAGTTTCATCCTGTTCATCCTCCATTTTGTGCTTATGGTGAGCCAGATTCATAATAAACACCGGAAACACAAGATATAGATCAGATAAAAAAAACAGTTTCACTGCCTGCGTTCAACTTGATGATGATTGATGGTGTGCAACCTTCTCTGACTGCCTTATATAGGTTTCCAGTTGCAACCCAAAGTCTTGGTTTTAATTTACAAAACCCAGTATGGCTTGGTACACAGATAATTGCAGTGATAATTAATCAGGTTCACATATTATGCTAAATCATTTAATCCTGGTTTATTGAGTAAATCACAATTAATGCAGAGCACTCTAGTCCATAAACAATTATTTATAGATTGAAAATGTATAAATTTACATTACATATTTTAAGTCCTAAACAAGCCACATTGTAACTTAAAACACTTTGTGAATCCAAACATTTTGAGGGATTCTTCATGGAGTCAGAGTCATTTTATTTCAGTCACTGACTAACAAAGCAAAAATATTGCAAATGATTTATAGAAAACAATATAAAATCATAAAACAAAATTTTAAGAACGTTTGGGACATAAAAATAACATAATAAAGTATGCTACAATTTATATAAGCAAATAAATGATTGTATAGAATAAAGTATGCTAAAATTACCAATCTAAAATATATAGAACCATTATAATATTAAAAGCTATGGAACAGACTCTTCATGAAATTTAAGAAATTTAAGAAAGATATGAGAGCTGCTTGCCATTGTCTTCATTAAAACATTTCCCCAGACCAGTAAACAACTCTAGCAATTGCATGCTTTTATCAAATAAAAAACCTCTGAAGAAATAAATTTTAAGTGTACTAATTTTAAACTGGGAAGATTTTATTGTTCTGGGACTACCACGCAAGACCTAGTAAATTAAATTGAAAGATTGATTATAAAAAGATTGGCACATTCCCCTACCGTCAGACTCCTTATGTAGTCTCTTAAGTGTATAAATCAGTGATGATATAATGATGTCATAATTCCTTCCTTTGTACCTTACAAAAGGTTAATGTTAGTGAATGTGACTGAGTTCCTGAAAAGACATCTGGTTAAGGTAAAGCTTATTAGATGTCATTGTAACATATGGAAGATCTAAACTGTTATCCAAATTACCATTCTTTATTGATAAAAAAAATACTGAAGATATTTAATACAAATGCTGATAGCTTCTTTGAGTAGAAAAGGAAGTACACGTGCCAGCAGTTACAAGGTGATAGGTTCCTAATGTTTAAGTCAAATTTATTTGTGAGATTTACTGTATATCCTACACTTTGTTCTTAAGCCAGAGCAGTATATCAAGTTTTCTGTTTTTTCTTTTTTTACCTCAACAACAATCCTGTGAGATAGATTGGGCTGAAAGAGAATGACTGTCCCAAAGCTTCTATAACTGAAGGTGGACTTGAGCCTTCCTCATCAAATCTTTTGTAAGATTCTCTGATAAAAGAATGATTGTACATTGAAAGCCTCCCTGGCAGGGGTGTCAAACTTGCAGCCTGCGGGGTGGATGCATCATGTGCTGGCCACCCCCACCCGTTTTAATGAAGGGAAAAAAGTTGCGATATGTCACATGATGATGCGAGTTTGACACACTTCTCCATGGAATTGATCTACCATAGATTAGAAAGTCATGTATGTTTTTTGGTGCCTGTGGGTCAATGTCAACTGGTGATTTTTCCTGGACTACCACTGCAGGCTATTTTACAAGGTTTTTCAGAAGTAGTTTGCCATTGCCTCTTTCCTTGTGCTGTGAGAGATTGCATGGTCTAAGGTCACCTCATTGCCTTCATGTCTAAGGTGGGACTAGAACCTATGACAACCTGATTTCTAGCCTCGTGTCTTAATTAATTGACATTTGTTTGCTGTGCATCTCTTCTTCCATATCTTGATTTTCAATTGAACAAACAAAAACTGCTTATGAAATATGCAAATCTTTGAAAAGTGCTTTGGGTTAAGGAAGGCTTGAGGAAAGCAGCCTTCCCAAGCTCTTCATGAAAGCAAGTGACACTCAAGAGTAAAGTTAAGCAGCAGAAATGCTTTACTTTATCTGCTGCAAGTGATGTTTGATAGCCATAAGATGCCTCTGCCCAAACATTCTTCCAGCCATTGGGGCATTCTCCAGCAACTGCAGATATTAGTTGAGGCTGGTGGGGACACGAATAGTTTTGGTTGTTTTTCTTTTTTAATGTAGATATATGTTTTATTGAGATTACCACACGATCAAATACAAATGAAAATAAAGATTGTAGGGAAATGGGAAGGAGAAAGACTTTGGTGAACATTTTTTATTTTTATTCAATTTTTCACATTTCTGTACTGCCCATCTCACTCAAAGACAGATTGCCTCTTTGCCTTGATGAGAAGGATTTGGTTTTGACTGCAGTACAGAACATCTTTCTGAGGTAAAACACCTTGTATGTTGTATACAAGCTTTTGTGTTTTGTTTTTTTACAAGAAGAAATCCTTTAGATCACCAGCCATGCTAGTCTTTCACATATGGGCTGAATGTAGATATCCCAGTATAACATGAGCTGCAGCATGGTTTAATTCCCAACATTTTAAGTCAAAATTAAGATCATTTTGGCTTAATGTGAATCAAACTAGGCCACCACACATTATACTAGCTCATGATTTGATTAAGCATGTTTCATTGAATAAATCATGGTTGGACTCATCCAACACAGAAATCTCTATATATTGCAGCTTAGCACAGTGCGATCCTTATGGTTGATTTTCTTCATTTTCTATTAACTTTCATAAGACAAACAAGAAAAAAAAGTACTTTCCCTCCAAATCAAATATATCCTACCCTAGCTGCATCTCTGGTTGAAATTGGCTTGCGCCAATTAAAATAGATTACTAATTAAATAACAAAACAGTTTAGCCTGTAATGTTTGTAGCCTTGCCACCTCATCAAGATGGAGAATATTGATGTTAATAGAAAAGTTGTGGTTTTGCAGAAGGGATTATAGTGATTCTTTTTTTCTTCTTCCCCAACTGAAATAGCCTTCGAAGGAAGTGTGGAAGAGAGTTGAGTTTCTTTATCCTAGATCCTTACAGTAAAGAAAAAAGAAAGCATCAATATAGCTAACAGGAGAGTTTTGTTGGAATATGGATTCACTAAGTGATCGCTCTGATGTTTTGCCTCAGGATAGTAGAGCCAAACAACATGTTTCCCGTAAAAAACCTAGAGTCTCTATCAGAGATACCATTGGGTATCTGAATGATAAAGAGACACCTCCCTACTTTCCCACATCAACATGCTCATGTAAGCCAGACCAGGAGGCCACGGTTTCAAGAAAAGTAAAGCATCATCCTGCAAGAATGTTGGGCTTTGTTCGTAAATGGCAGGATCCATCCAAAGCTCAGACCACCAGCAATATGAACACGGGCGAAGTTCTAGCCTTTGCCCCAGCACCTCAGCGAAAGGCACACCAGAAGTTTGGGCAAGAAAAGAAGGCAGCCCCCAACATGCAGTCAGCATGGAGGGGTTCTCATGCCAAACAAAACATGGAGAGGATGAGTAAGGCTGCCACCAAGATTCAGGCGATATTCCGAGGATACTTGATCCGAAAGGAGCTGCCTCTGGGACTGTGTTCCTCCTATG